CTGTCGCATCGGAAACATTACCAACACGAGAATGCCCAGTGCTGCCAGGGTACCACTGACTGCTACTCTCAGCACCGTAGCAGAGGAAGCAAATTCGGGAATAGTTTGTCATGATACACGTCATAGGACTTCAAAATAGTTCACCCACCTTAAACTCTTAGTAGTTTATCGTACTAAGGATTGTAATAGGACGTTTCAAATGAACGAAATAATCAACAGATAAATGACTTCAGGGAAATGATGGTTTATCCAAAGCCAATGAGAAGATCTATAAAAAATCTGGCATGAAAGGGAACATTCTTCATGTGCATAAAAAAAAAAATTAGGGGCCGGCGTGTGGCTCACCACCTGTAATCCCAGCACTTGTTGGGAGGCTGAGGCGGTCGCGTCACAAGGTCGAGAGTCGAGACCATCCTGGCTACACAGTGAAACCCCGTTCTCTACTAAAAATACAAAAAATTAGCCGGGCCCGGTGGCGGGCGCCTGTGGTCCCACTGCTACTCGGAGGGCTGACGGCAGGAGAATGGCGTGAACCCGGCGGAGGCGGAGCTTGCAGTGAAGCCGAGATTGCGCCACTGCACTCCAGCCTGGGCGACAGAGCAAGATTCCGTCTCAAAAAAAAATAGGGACCAATCCAGCCCCTAACCCTCAATTATGTATACACGTGTGTATCCACATGCCAATCCAGAACCTAACCCTCAATTATGTATACATGTGTTTATCCAAATAAAATTATCATTTTTTTTTTTTTCTGAGACAGGGTCTCCCTGTCATCCAGGCTGGATCATAGCTCACTGTAGCCTCAACCTCCTTGGCTTAAGCGATCCTCCCACCTCAGCCTCCCAGGTAGCTGGGACTATAGGCATGCACCATCATGCCTGGCTAATTTTTTTTTTTTTTTTTGGTAGAGATGGGAGTCTCACCGTGTTGCCCAGGCTGGGCATAAGCAATCTGCCTGCCTTGGCCTCTGAAAATGCTGGGATTACAGGTGAGAGCCACCGCACCTGGCCAAATAAATTGAAAGACATATACCAAGTGTTTCAAGAGTTGGACTGGAAACGGGTAATGTATGGCTGTGTTTTCCCCTTTATACCTTCTCAATGTTCCCATTTTCTCTCCTAAGTCCCTATAACATTTGAAATTAGCCAGGTGTGGTGTCTCATGCCTATGATCCCAGTACTTTGGGAGACTGAGGCAGGAGGATCACTTGAGCTCAGGAGTTAGAGACCAGTCTGGGCATCATAGTGAGACCTCATCTCTATTAAAATATAATTTTAAAACTTAAAAAAAATTGAAATCAATCAAAGTAAAATGTTAACAGAAAGGGATCTGGCCTAAACACAAGTCTCATCCCTAACCAGGTCTAGATAAGTGCCAGGGTCTGAACAGGAGAGGCGGTGCAAGTGGTCCCTGGAAGGCAGGATGTCTCCAAGTTGACACTTGAGAAAGACACAGAATATTCACCACCCACCACCCCAGCTGCTCCTGGACACTAGGTACTGGCTTGTGGGTCACTTGTGAGGGGTGGAAACACATCTTTCAACAGAAAAAATGCCACAGTCTGCTCTCAGGCAGTTATGATACTCCATATGCAAAGGAGAGGAAGGACCAAAGAAGGAAAGGAAGCACCTGTCGGCTTTCAAGTCAGAAAAATTCAATTTGTAGACAAAGACCTTAGTTAAAGGCGGAAGCCCTCACACCCAAGAGTGTGGAGCCGTGGCCCCATGGCCAATCAAGAACAGGAGTCTCCCACCAGGCACGGCACCTTCTTGGGGCCAATTCCCACCCTACACCCTCTGCCCTGCTAGACCACCCTTGGAGAAGCTGCTCAGCGACAGGAATGCTGCCTTTGAAAGGAGAATGTGGGCTTGCTTCCTTCTGCTCTTTGGTACTGTCCATCCCCTCTCTATTGAGCTTACAGCAATTTTAAAAGGACACATTTTCTTGTTAAAGAAATCAAAGGGCCAGGCGCAGTGGCTCATGTCTGTAATCCCAGCACTTTGTGAGGCTGAGGCGGGAAGATCACGAGGTCAGGAGTTCGAGACCAGTCTGGCCAACATAGTGAAACACCATCTCTACTAAAAATACAAAACTTAGCCGGGCATGGTGGCATGTGCCTGTAATCCCAGCTACTTGGGAGGCTGAGCAGGAGAATCGCTTGAACCCGAGAGGTGGAGGTTGCAGTGAGCAGAGATCAAACCACTGCACTCCAAGCTTAGGTGACAGAGTGAGACTCCGTCTCAAAAAAAAAAAAAAAAAAAGGCTGGAAGTGGTGGTTCACACCTGTAATCCCAGCACTTTGGGAGGCAGAGGTGAGCAGATCATGAGGTCAGGAGATTGAAATCATCCTGGTTAACACAGTGAAACCCCATCTCTACTAAAAATACAAAAATTAACCAGGCATCATGGCACACGCCTGTAGTCCAGCTACTCGGGAGGCTGAGGCAGGAGAATCACTTGAACCCGGGAGGCAGAGGTTGCAGTGAGCCGAGATCGTGCCACCGTGCTCCAGCCTGGGCAACAGAGCCAGACTCTGCCTCAAAAAAAGAAAAAACTTCGGGCCGGGCGCGGTGGCTCAAGCCTGTAATCCCAGCACTTTGGGAGGCCGAGACGGGCGGATCACGAGGTCAGGAGATCGAGACCATCCTGGCTAACACGGTGAAACCCGGTACTCGGGAGGCTGAGGCAGGAGAATCACTTGAACCCGGGAGGCAGAGGTTGCAGTGAGCCGAGATCGTGCCACCGTGCTCCAGCCTGGGCAACAGAGCCAGACTCTGCCTCAAAAAAAGAAAAAACTTCAAAACGCCCCCACAGCAGTCTGAGGGTGACCCAAGCTCATGGGGGCCAATGCCACTCTTGCTGGATCCTTGGCCAGTGGGCAGCAGCCTGCCTCCATCTCCCAGCCCAGGAGCTGTTCCTCGGCAGGTTACCACTCCCAAGGCCGCTGTTAGAAAGTGCTGTGTGTCCCTATCACGGCCCTGAAGGGAAGTGAAACCCCCACCTGGTGCTGAGGACTCTGGTCACAGGTGAAGCTCCCAAGGCACTCCCACACCTCCTAGACACAATCACAGATGTACCAACAACAGTAACTAATACCCTAAGGGCCTTCCAAGCAGCCACACCAGAGTCAGCACCACCCTGGTGTTCTCAAGGGCGTTGAGGATTTGGCTGTTCTTCCTGAACCAAACATTCACTGACAGGACATTTTCCTGGTTCTCCGGCTGCCTCCTGACCCATCCCCAGTCTCCACTGCCCCTGCCCTCCCCGCTGACCCCAATCTTCTCAAGCTGGTGACACCCAGACTAGGCCTGGCCCCTTCTTACCACCTTTCCAGACGACACAAACCACCTGTACCAGAGACTCCTAAAACCTGTCTCCCCTGGCAGACTCTGATCCTGGCACCACCTGCCCACCAAGGTCTCCACGGTGCCTCCCAGGCATCTCACAGTGGGCAGATCCAAAATGGAGCCCCTCAGTGTCCCCAAGCCAGAGCCTGTGCAGCCTGTGCTGGCCCCTCCACCCGGAGACCTGCCCTCTTTCTCCCAAGGCCACTCCTGCAGAGCCCTCCTCCCCCCACTCAGCTTTTCCCACAGCCAGGCAGCTCTCCTGGCCTCCTGCCCTCCACTGTGTCTCCACCCAGCAGCCAGAGCAGTTTCACAGTAAGCATCTCAGACATCCAGTCCATGCCAAAATCTTCCCACACACATCAACTGAACACTCCAGTGCTGCCTCCAGGATCTGCAGGACCAAGGCTGGTCTGAGCCAATCCCTGCTCCCTCTCCCAGCCCTGAGAATTTCACCTTCCCGCATATGCCAAGGTCCTCCTTGCCTCAGGCAGTTTCACTCAGGCTCAAGTCTGCCTCTCCCCACCCTGCCTGGTGCCAGCAGCTTCTCAGCCCTCAGATCTTGCCCTCAGTGCCACGGCCTCCCCTGAGCACTCAGGACCAGCCACTGTTCTTCACCAGTGCCCTGCTCTTTTCCACGCAGGATGTACACCATGTGCCACCTGCCTCTGCCCGTCTGTGCCTGGTTTCTCACCAGCGTCGCCTACCAGCTGTGGCTTCTCGAGAGGAAACAGGTCTGTCTTATTCAACACTGCACAGTCAGAAGTAAAATGGGAACTGGCCACGGCTGGTCTTCAAGAAGAATGAAGCAAAGACTCTGCCTCTCTTTCCCCAAGTATGATCCGACCAGTCCAGAATGAGAGAGAGGGCCGGGCGCGGTGGCTCAAGCCTGTAATCCCAGCACTTTGGGAGGCCGAGACGGGCGGATCACGAGGTCAGGAGATCGAGACCATCCTGGCCTAACACGGTGAAACCCCGTCTCTATTAAGAAGTACAAAAAACTAGCCGGGCGAGGTGGCGGGCGCCTGTAGTCCCAGCTATCGGAAGGCTGAGGCCGGAGAATGGCGTGAACCTGGGAGGCGGAGCTTGCAGTGAGCTGAGATCCGGCCACTCGCACTCCAGCCTGGCGACCAGAGGCGAGACTCCGTCTCCAAAAAAAAAAAAAAAAAAAAAAAAAGAATGAGAGAGAGGTAAGACACCATGGTAACAAATGGTACGGAGGCCGGGCGCGGGTGGCTCAAAGCCTGTAATCCAGCACTGCTTGGGATGGCCGAGACGGGCGGATCACAAAGGTCGCCCGCAGATTCAGGACCATCCCTGGTTAACAACGGTGAAACCCCGCTTCTCTAGCTAAAAATAATAACAAAAAACTAGCCAGGTGGAGGTGTGGGTGGCCTGTAGTCCTGATACGCGGCGAGCCTGAGCCAGGAAGAATGGCGTAAAAACCCGGGAGGGGAGCTTGCAGTGAGCTGAGTCCGGCCACTGGCACTCCCAGCCTGGGGCGACCAGAGCTAAAACTCCGTCCTCAAAAAAAAAAAAAAAAACAAAAACCAAACCAAATGGTAAAGGAAAACATAATTATTTTCAATCTTCAATGGTTTGAAATGCCTCTGGATTGAACCCCAGTTATAACTCCACACCATTTGCTCAAAGTACCTGCGATGAAATCTCTGGGAAGTCCTCAGGGTCGGTGTCTGCCTTCTGAGGAGCTGGTAAGACAGGTGGATTTGCTGGTTTCAACCCAGTGATTTCTGGCCTCATCTTCTGCTCTTCCTCTAGCCTGAAAGCCAGAGCTGAATGAGAGAAGCCGTTTTATTTCAAATATGCCACAAGGCCTACAAGAGATTTAAACTGCTTCATAAAAACGCTTGGCAGGTGCTATCCCTTACAAATCAACATTATGAGACCTGATACTGACTGAAATTAATTCAACAATAGCCCAAGGGAATGAATTCTTTTTCAAAACACTTGGCAGTTTGTGTCCTTATCCATAACACAGAACCTCAAATCTTTTGCCTTCCTATTTTCCATTCAGGGACGTTCAGCGTGTGGCAGGTGGGCAGTAGTCCTTTAGCTCTGCTCCACAGAGAAGCATCTTAGACCGACTGACAAGAGATTCCCTACGTCCTCACCAGAACTCTGCCTGGTCTTTTCCAAATACACGCTAATGAGTGTTATGAAATTAGTGTGGTTATTTAGGTTGAGTGTTCAAGCCCACCAGCTGATTTACTCTATGAGGGAGGCTGGACGTATCGGTACTTACACCAGATGCCTAGAAAGCAGTCAGACAGCATCAAATTGACATCTGTGTTCTAGACAAGTGGTTAAATACAGCTCTACCTTTCTCTTTATCTTGATTTCTTGTCAATTCATTGCCATATATGCCTCCTGGAGCTGTTTAAGGTAGAATGCGAGATTGCTTCTGCCCAATCAAACCTCAACACTGATATCATTTTCAAGTACACGTATTTCTGATACCTTTCCAATGGTCAGCCAAGTTGATGTAGAAGAGGAGTCCACAGAAAATCAGAAAGGCAAGGAGGAAGAGAATCATATTCCGCTGCAATCTTGACAGTTGCTTCCATTTCTAAGAGAGGTACAGAGAATGACATTTCTTACTGAATATATCACACGGAAAGTCTCAACTGTCACAAATTGTGAGGAAAATAAGGAATGCAGGAAGATCCCGTGTTCAGCTCTATTTCTTTCTTTCTTTCTTTTTGAGACAGGGTCTCATTCTGTCACACCTAGGCTGGAGTGTAGTGGGTGGAACGCGGCACGAGCCACCGTGCCCAGCCAGCTCTATTTATTTTGAATGGGGAAAAGTTCCCTCTCAGCAGGGAGTAGGAACATTGCTGGGACAATACTACAGATGTCATTAATACAGTAGTGTAGATGACATGTGAATAAGAAAAAAGTAGAAACATTTCTGTCATATTTCATCAGCAGTGGAAAAAGACTCCCGTGATTCCCACAGATGTAACCCAGGCACCGCCCAGGCGATGCATGGGTCCGGATGTGGTAAAGTTATCAATGCCTTTCGTCCTGAGACCACCACGAACACACCAGGAGCCAACCAACAGGGGCTCATTTCTCACTGTACTGAGGGGAGCATACACCACGGGGAACCTCCGGTTTCTGCTCCAAGAGGGGCAGGCGCCTGGGCCAGGAGGACCTTGCAGAAAAGCGAACAAAGCCCAGAAAACCTGCTGGGGCTCCAAGCCCTCCTCCCATCACCGCCCCGCAGAATTCGGGCCCCTGAGACCGCTGCAGCCCCGACCCGGAACGCACATTTGCCCCTTTTTGCAGGGAAGGGGTGGAGAGGGCGGCGCCGGGGAAGTCGAGTCCGCCCGCCCAGACCCCGCTAGAAGCCGCAGGCTGGGAGGGCGGCGGGCACAGCGGCCCCGGGCCCCGGTCAGCCCGGCGCGGCCCTCACCCTCCAGCACGAGCGCCGCCGCCAACTCTTGCTGTTGTCATAGCTCTCGCCAAAGCTCAGCGTCACCGAGATGAAGTCCCGATGAGGCGGCGGCGGCGGCGGTGGGTACATGACTACGGTGGTGGCTACAGCCCAAGGGGCCCCGCCCACTGGCGGCGTCAGGAAGTCCGACTGAGAGGAACCGAGAGCTCCGCTTCTCCTGCCCTCGCAGGCAGCCATTGCACCGCCGTCAAGAGCCCGTCCATCGCACGGATACACGATTGCGCATGCGCCACGTCTCTATGCGACCACTGCGCCTGCGCCTGTCTCCGCACGTTCCAGCGTACGGGACTGCGTTCTACGACGCCTGAGTCAGAGAACGGCTGCGACTCCGCCCTGCCGTCAGGTTCATTGCGCTTGCGCCGGCGCAGATGTGCTCGGAGCGTAGCTGTAGCAACAGGGCGGGCCTTGGTTCCGCGTGGGGCGTGGTCGCTGTCTGGGTCTCCCACGTGGTTCGCCTCACGGGTCTGGAGCTGGGCTTTTCTCGCCTCCCGTCGTCTGGCTGCACCGGCTTTGCCCACGCCCTCATGGGAGACGCGGATACCCGGGACCCGGGGAGGCGCCCGGGCGGCGCCGCCATGTTGGCAGGGAGTCCCCGCGGCGTGGGATTGGGGCTGGGCAGCCCTTGGGCGCCGTCCTGGGCTGGGGGCCACCCTGGCCGCGTGGTCACCGGCAAGAAGCCCGGGGCCTCACCCAGGCGCGGGGGCCGGGGGAAGGACCGGACCCTCCCGAAGTCGCGGACCCTACCGGGCGGCACCTGAGCTGGGGTGGCCTCTACCGCGAGCTAAGCTGGCCGCGCCGCATCTCACCGTCCCTGGGGCCCGAGCGCTGCGCCTGGACCAGGGCCGAGCGAGGGGGCCAAGCGGCCGGCTGGACCCACAGTCCCCGTGCCATAGGCGAGTCGGGGCTTTCAGACCCGGCTTCAGCGCTCGAACCCGGTAGCCTTGGAGGTCAGCTTGAGATGACTGCTCTTCCTGCGCGGGTTGTCCTCCCCAAAAACGTCCAAAATGGCAAAGAGGCGTCCGTGGCCGCTCGAGGCCCTCCCTGCCTGGGTTCTCCCCTGCCGAACCTCACTCCCGGCCCCTCCCTCATTCTCTCCTGGCCAGGCTCCCCCTGCCCCTTGGGCGAGTCCGCTGCCTCTCACGGTCCGGACTGTGCCATTTCTGCGTGTCTGGAGGGCTGCCGTCTGGAGGGCTGTCCCCGGCAGCGACGTCCTGCTTAGCACGTGGCTCGTCTAACTCTGTTACCCTGGCCTCCTGCCCTGCTAGGGGTCATCTTAAGGTTTCTGCTGGTCTCTTCCCCCCGTGACACTTGCCGTAACCCAAATGGAGTCGTTTATGTCACGCTCTAACAAGAGACCCTGAAGAAGCCCTCACAAAAACATTAGCAATGGAGCGCCTGCGGCAAACCCTTCTAACCTTTGGTCTTTATAACCCTTGGTTTCAAGACAGCTTATGGGAACTTCTCTTGTCTTTAAAAGATTCCCTTTGGGGCCAGGCACGGTGGCTTCTGTAATCCCAGGACTTCGGGAGGCCGAGGCAGGCGGATCACTTGAAGTCAGCAGTTCAAGACTAGCCTGGCCAACATGGTGAGACCCCGTCTCTAGAAAAAATACACAAAAAAATTAGCCGGGCGTGGTTGGTGGCGGGTGCCTGTAGTCCCAGCTACACGGGAGGCTGAGGCAGGAGAATTCCTTGAACCAGGAGGTGGAGGTTGCAGTGAGATCGCACCACTGCACTCAAGCCTGGGTGACAGAGCAAGACTCTGTTTAAAAAAAAAAAAAAAAAAATTCCCTTGGGCAGGGCACAGTGACTCATGCCTGTAGTAATCCCAGCACTTTTGGAGGCCGAGGTGGGCAGATACCCTGAGCTCAGGAGTCCAACCTGGGCAACATAGTGAAACCCCTATCTCTACAAAAAATAAAAAAAATGAGGCTGGGCGTGATGGCTCACGCCTGTAATCCCAGTACTTTGGGAGGCCAACATGGGTGGATCATGAGGTCAGGAGATCGAGACCATCCTGGCTAACACAGTCAAACCCCGTCTCTGCTAAAAATACGAAAAATTAGCCGGGCATGGTGGCAGGCGCCTGTAGTCCCAGCTACTCAGGAGGCTGAAGCAGGAGAATGGCGTGAACCCAGGAGGCGGAGCTTGCAGTGAGCTGAGATTACGCCACTGCACTCCAGTCTGGGTGAGAGTGAGACTCCGTCTCAAAAAAAAAGAGTCTAGCGTCGTGGTGGTGTGCGCCAGTGGTCCCTACTCTGGAGGCTGAGGTGGGAGGATCACCTAAGCCCAGGAGATTGAGGCTGCAGTGAGCCATGATCACACCACTGCACTCCAGCCTGGGCAACAGAGACCCAGTCTCAAAAAAAAAAAAAAAAAGATTCCCCCTTTCCTCAAGCCCCATACCGCCCCCCCAACCATATGCCTGTGGCCCACTGAGGCTTGCATACTCTGAATTGCAATTATGTGTTATTCTTGATTAAATTCATTTATCCTGGAGAGCCTGAATTTCTCTTTAGGTTGACACCACTCATTCTTGTCAGTCCCTGCAGTGCCCCAAGCATCCCTGTCATGTGGTGAGCAGGGAAACCTTGGCATCTTAAGGATGCAGGTGCAGGAGAGTGAGTCTCCAGGCTGTCAGAGCTGAGCATGTAGAATCCAACCCTGGAGAGCACCCCGAGGTTCCTGACCCCAGGTTGTCTTGGTCCTTCCTGAGACCCTGGTGAAGAGTGGGATGGAAGTGCGGGGGGATTCCTGGGCACCCCAAGTAGTCTTGGCCTTCATGTGTGAACTCCTCTCTCCAAGGGGGCCTCCAGTGAGCTCCACCCCTGGGACACAGCTGTGAACACCTGATCCTTGTTCCCAACACCCATGCACTGGCCAAAAACTGCACTTGCCAGGGTAGCAGTCAATCACAGCACCTTGTGTTTATTGGAAATGTCCCACCTACGAACATTAAGATGCCAGCAACTGGCCCAGCACGGTGGCTCACACCTATAATCCCAGCAGTTTGGGAGGTCGAAGTGGGTGGATCACGAGGTCAGGAGATGGAGACCATCCTGGCTAACACAGTCAAACCCCGTCTCTACTAAAAATACAAAGAATTAGCCAGGCGTGGTGGTGGGTGCCTGTAGTCCCAGCTACTCAGGAGGCTGAGGCAGGAGGCAGAGGTTGCAGTGAGCCAAGGTCACCCCACTTCACTCCAGCCCGGGCAACAAGAGTGAAACTCCATCTCAAAAAAAAAAAGACTTCACCCAACTAACTATGCTTATGTAGAAAGAGGTGGCATCCCTGTTCGAGTCATGGCCATGAGGAGCAGCTATGAGAAGGGCCCTAAGGCACAGCATGGTTTGCAATAAGGAGGGCGAAGCCACGGAGAGGGAAAGCTTTGGTTTCAAATATCACAAGGTGTGGGCCTGAGCCTGCTGCCTGCCGAGGTCTGGGCGCCTCCACTCAGCCACTGTCCTCCCCGTGCCTCTAAATCTGGAAGGCTGCATCTGAACCTGCCCTTCCAGACAACACCCCTCCCCTGGGAAACCAACGGGGATGAGTAGCGTCCCTCCACTAGGGGCCGTGGGTTTCGAGGTGGGGGCGGAGGATGAGTTAGCAGCGGTTGCATATCATAGCTCTCTTCATGTCAGCAGGGAGAGGGAGGTGCCACTGCCTCCCCCGAGATGAGAAAGCAGGTGAGAGTCACCAGGGGAAGAACCCTGGGGCAGCTGGCTTGTCCCAGCCACTCCTGAGTGCGGGGAGGGGCCAAGGCACCAAATATGGAGGCTGAGTCCTCACTTGGGGAGCTGGGCAGCCTGAGCACGAAGATCCATCAGAAGCAGCAGGCAGCTGGGGCGAGGGGTAGTGCCTCTGACTCATGAAATCCCGGATTAGTCAGCAACCATCACAGAGGCCACCAGCATTGATCCCACTGGTTGTTGGGGAAGCACAGAAAATTCAGCAGCCTAAACGGACTATGGAAGAGGCTGAGAGGCAGAGGCCTTGGGGATAGATGGGGAGAAGGCAGGAGTACCGGCCGCAGCCTCAGGTGTCCAGGCCAAGCTTCTCAGAGCCACCTGGATCACGGACATCAGGCCCTTTCTGTGGCCTTGCTGGGCATCCAGGGTATGTGGGCTGGGATGCCCCAGCCTTGCCCCCATTACTGGTTCGGCTGCTGAGGAGGAGGGGGCAGCCCTCAACTGGGTGGAATTGTTCCCCTCATTCCGGTTCTGCATTGGTAGGCTGCAGAAGCACGGCCTGCATAGCTTATGCAGCTTCCAGGGCTCGACTGGGTGAGGTGGATCCCAGGGCGGGCTCCCAAAGGGACGTGCCCTCCTGTTCTCCCCAGATGACACCACACCTCCCTTGGGCCCCAACCTGAAGCCTCCTCTCAACCCCATTCTCCCAGGTCCCAAGTCCCTCTGCCTCTCGACTAGACCCCACATCCGGGAATGGAGCCACAGAGCCCCCAGCAGGCTGTAGCCACTTGTGTCCAGAGGCGACAGGAGAGGCCCTGCCCTCATGGAGTCCACCAGCATGCTTCATTCTGCGTTCTGCAGGCTGGAAGCACGTGGCAGGCTGCTTTCCCATCCAGAGCTCAGGCTGGGGCCATAGCCCCCAGCTCCAGGACGCCAGGGCTGGCAGGTCTGGGGGGAGTCTGGGGGCAGTCTGGGGGTGTCAGGACTCCTGTGGCTGTAGTAGCTCCCTGGCCTGGTCCTCATCCAAGATGAACGGGGACTGGAACTCCCGGCCTTGCAGGTACACTTCTAAACCCTGGAGACGAGCAGGCAACAATGGCCAAGTACCCACCTTATGGCTGGCCACAGCCCCCTCTGGCCACACCAAGGAGCCACAGTCCCCAGGCACGATCCCAGGTCTGCCTGGAGTCAGGGAGGGGTAGGGACATAAAGGCTTCCAGGGCCAGGAGCAGACACACACTGCAAGGCCACCCAAGACCACACTCAAGACCCTAGGCCAGCAGGAGACCCTCCTGTCACACTCAGGTCTGACCTGACCAGAGAAAGGGGCAAGGGTAGCCAAGGTCAGGGAGGTGGGAGAGGCCAGTGTCCTACCTCCACGAGGCCCCCACAAAATCCTGTCTGGCCCCACACTGGGCTCAGACCTGGGCTGTCTCATACCCATGCCCTCCCAGGTCCTGCAAAGGCCTCTGGACGCCTCACCCCACCCCATCCCATATCTTGGAAAGTCTTCTGCAACTTTAAACCACCGATCCCATTGGTTCACCGAGGTAGAGCTGTGCCGTCTCCTCCCCAGCAGCCACCTCTCCCCAGGTGGTATTAAAAACCTGACTCCAGAAAAGCCCCAGATAGGGACAGGCAGCTCTCACCTCTCCAGAGTAAGACACCAAGGGCGATACCTCACAGATGGCGGGAGGGTCTCCATTTGGGGGTAAGCTAGGGAAAGTCCGCTTGTCAATATCTCCTTGCAAAGCCTGCCCAGAGCCCTCCCACCGCACCCCCACCCCCCATAGGAGACTGAGCTCTACACATCTGGCTCCCCAGAGCCCATCTCAGCAAACTTGTCTTCCTCTGGACACCCCAAACCCTGAGCACACATCCCACTGCCAAGTGACAGGACCTGATTTGGGGTAGAAAGCACCCCCACAAGCCTCCCACGCAGAGCCTAGGCAGCTAGATTTAGAAAATCAGGGAGGCAAAAGCCAAACGTCTTTTTCTTTCCCAGCCCTGAAATCAAACTGTCCTGCTACTTTCTGAATTCATGCCAGGGGCTCAGTTTCAAAGCCTGTGAATAAATGGGAACAAGGTTGGTTGGGTGATGGATCCCGTAAAAGCCCTGACCTGACCACTGTGCAATCTACACATGTAACAAAGCTGCACACGCACCCCACAAGTTTATACAAATAAGAAAAATAAAAATAAAAAAATAGGCGGGCGCGGTGGCTCACGCCTGTAATCCCAGCACTTTGGGAGGCTGAGGTGGGCGGATCACAAGGTCAGGAGACTGAGACCATCCTGGCTAACACGGTGAAACCCCGTCTCTACTAAAAAAAAATACAAAACATTAGCCAGGCGTGGTGGCGGGCGCCTGTAGTCCCAGGTACTCTGGAGGCTGAGGCAGGAGAATGGCGTGAACCCAGGAGGTGGAACTTGCAGTGAGCCGAGATGGCGCCACTGCACTCCAGCCTGGGCAACGGAGCGAGACTCCATCTCAAAAAATAAATAAATAAAAATAAATAAATAAATAAAATAAAAGGCAAATCTAAGTATGCTTTTGTAAACAAACCAAAAGCTTGTGGACAAGTTGGGGAGGGAGTTGGGGAGCCCCCTGCCTCCCTCAGTGCACTGAGCACAACTTGAAGGGTCAGGCCAGGAGGCTGCGCCAATGGTCACCGTGTGACCTGGAGCTGGCCGGACACAAGGCCACCTGCATCTGTGGTGGTGCTGGGGAGGAAGACCCCTCCCCAGCATGGCTGTCACAAAGCCAACAGGGCTCTGGAGCTGAAGACTGGGTCCTGACAGCCCTCCCCATCTGGCCGTAGCTACCCCAGGGCCACACTCACCCGGGCAGCTCTGGGAGCCAGGCCCCATGGGCATCCAGGAAGCGGGCCCCTGCCTGCAGAGCCCACCGGTAGTGCTGGGCGAGCAGGGCCTGGCGGGAGGTACGGGGACTATCCCTGTCGGCCGGCTCTGCATTCTTCAGTGGGGAAAATTCCTCCTCTCGTAGTACTTCAAAGGCAACAAAGTTCCTGGTGGGGAAAGGGCTAGTCACCCACGTCCCGGCACAGAGGCCCTGATCCGGGCGGGTGAGGGCTGGGCCAGGTTTCCAGTGGCAGAGTGAAGGTCTGGTCCCATGGACAGCAAGTCTAGGGAGGAGTCCTCACAGGTACTGAGTGTCTTTGTTCTGAGATGCTGGGGATAGCCCAATTCCAGCAGCCATTTCCGGCAGCCAAAAACCCAGACCCTGGGACCCCTGCAGTGAGGGCCAAAGGCCCTGTGAGCCACCCTGGCAACCTGGCCAGGAGACCTCTCCTAACCGTGGGTGGGGGAGTGGAAGGTCCAGGAGGTGGCACTACTGTCCTCCCAAGTCCACAGCCCCCAAGGACTCCCTATGCCCCCACCTCAGGTGCTCCTTACCCTCAGGGCCAAAAGCACCTTCTGGTCTTCTCCCTGAGACCTGCCCGCAGGCCCCTTAGCCCCCCAAGTCTCCACTTCCCTGTCAGCTGGGCCTCAGTTCCCACCACCAAAACTGAGGGAAGGAAGAAGGGAAAAATGAATGAGTCCCACTACTAACTTAGCAAACCGGAACACATCAAACACAAACTTCTCCATCTTTATCCCGTTGGGTTTTAGCGGCTTTACCAGGTTCCCCTCCTCATCCACATACGGGACTTTCTTCACAGCCACGTGTGGCTTCAGCAAAGGCTCAAACTCCCTGGGGTACACGAGAGCAGAGGGGAGGAAAGACACAGATCAGATATGGCACCGCTGGGGCTCTGTCCCCACTTCTGAGCACACCCAGCTAGGTGGGACAGGATGGCAGAGGGACACTATAGGGGACAGAAGCAGCAGAGTACAGCCAGATCTCCAGGGAGGAGCGGGCACAGGCCTCCTCCCTGCATCCCCGTGCCAAGTGTCAGGCACCATCAGCCACATCCCTGCCCAGGCAAACAAACTGGCAAGCCCCAGGGCAGAGGTAGTACCATGGGCACCAGGGCAGGTCCCCAGAAGGCGGAGATAGCAGACTTGATCACAGAGCCTTACAGCAGCTGCCTGCTGAGCACGGCTTGTGCCTGATCTCCAGCATCTCTGCCTGTGCAAACACAGGATCCATTTTCTACCCCAACCCATCAGCCGGCCCTGACCACAGCCACTCCTGACCACAGCCACTCCTGACCACAGCCGCTGCGGCCCAGGGCACTCGGCTCCCTCCACGGGTCCCTGGTCAGCGCAGGCGGCACTGGCCGGCACTCCGCAGCCACCTGCTGCCGCACACCTGGTGACCGCCTTAAGGAAGCCTCGGGTGAAGAAGTGGTTGCAGATGTTGCCTGCATTGTACAGCAGGCCCCCGTCGGAGGCACGCAGCTGTGCGGTGTCAGGACTGATCTCGCTGTACTCCACCACCTGGGGGACGCCGTCCACCTGGCACACCACGCCCACGGGCTCCTCGGGGTATGCCTTTTCCACCACCTGCAGCCAAGACCAGGGATGGTCTTGGAGGGCTGGGGAGAGGGGCGCGGCTCCACGAGGGGCAGGGCCAGGCTGCGCGGAGGGGAGGTAATCCACGAGGGGCGGGGCCGGGCTGGGCGGAGGGGCGGGGCTCCGCGCAGGTGGGCGCTAACCTTGGCGCCACAGTCTGCGCCCTGCAACACACAGAAGCCGATGAAGACAGGGTCTGCCAGTCGCACCAGGATGTTGTCCACACAGTACACGTGCACAAACTCCACTCCTCGGCGCTCCATGTCCTCCAGGATCTTGTGGTCCTCCAGTGCGCAGTAGAGGCCCCCGTTTCCGTCTGCAGGCGGAGAAGGGAATAGATGTTGAGAGGGCTCCAGCCACAGCTCGCTCTGCGGGTCTAGGACGTACTAGAGGCGGGGTAAGCCCCGGCCTTGTGCCTAAGGCAGCCCCGATCACTAACCAGACTGCCCAGCGGTTGTACCACGTGACAAATGAGGCTCAAGGCCCAGAGAAAGAGGCGCCTAACCTGGGACCACACAGCCTCGGGGCAGCCGCGAATCCGGGCGCGTGGACCCCCAGCTACGCTCCCAGTTCTGGTCTGGGAGGTCCCTCCCCGTCTCAGGAACGGGCCACACCTGGGGCCATGGCAACTTTGTCTTTCCGCTCCAGGATCACCTTGCCATCAAAGGTCACAGCAGGCAGCAGGCGCTGCTCAAACATGACCACGTTGGCGGGGTCCAGGTGGAAGAAGTTGTGCTCCCTGAAGAACTCGGCCGTGGGCCCCAGAGTGAACTCGCTGGTCATGACGTACCTGCAAGGGAGGCGCAGTGAGCCGGCCGCGAGTGCGCCTGACCCTGCAGGCAGACTGCACTCGGACCAGAGCCGGCATTGGGGTTCGGGGTCCAGTGTCTAGTTGGGGCTGGGGCCAGGCCCCATTTTGGGCCAGTGCTGGGCTATGTCCCGGGCTGTGCCGGGGTTGGGGCTCGCGTGTGCAGCGGGGTTGGGGGGGGGGACATGGGGAAGGGTCCCTCCGGGCCGAGGTAGGGCAGGGAGGACACACCAGGGGACGGTGCAGCGGGTCCCGTGGCGCTCACCGGCCAGCTGCTCCACCCGCCGAATCCGCTCCGCCTGCAGCTGGTACAGGGTCTTCCGGCTGGGCAGCCCCACACGGTACATACCCTTGGGGTAGGTCACGCCCAGGCGAGTGCCCTGCCCCCCCGCCAGCAGCAGGACGGCCACCTTGTTCAGGGCAATCTGGCGGAAACCTGGGGGTACGGGCGCAATGAAGGGACGCCCGGGACCCGCCCACCCTTCCGCTTTAGGGAAAACCAGCCCTGGGGCTGGGGCTCCGGGACTCGGGGGCCAGAACGCGTGAGGCGAGACACGTCTCAAAGTAGCGAAGGAAAATTACAGTTCCCCGAGCGCGGCCTCGGTTCCCTCCCGCTCCGTGGGCACGAGCCCCTGCCGGCCCCCAGGGCCTCCCGCCCCGCCTACCTTCCTCCTCCCAGCGCCGCCGCGTCTCGGGGTCGCTGCGGCTGGCCCTGCCCACGCACTCGGCGGGCAGGGGCCGCAGGCGCTCGGCCAAGCCGGGCAGCGGGCCGTGGGGGCGCGCGCAGGCCTCCGCCGCCCGCCGGCAGTGCTCGCGCAG